AACACTCCGTCCCAAGGTCTCCGCCCCCAAGGTCAGCCATCAGGAAAGGGGGGGGAATTGAGTCTGCTGTACCAGACACCAGACCTTGAGAATATGCTGATCTGGAATGGCTCTGTGTCTCATTTGAACCATCCAATGGAAATGATTCTGTATTTCGCCTCATTTGAAAGACTCTGTGTTTCACCTCATTTGAATAACTCTGTACTTTGCCTCATTTGAATAACCCTGTATAGCGCCTCATATACATTGACCAATGGGAATAGCTCTGTATAATGCCTCATTAGAATTATCCAATAGAATCCCTGCTCCTAGCTTGCGCCTTTTTCCCTATATAAGGACCCCTTTCCCTTGGCTCGGGGCGCTTAGCCACACAAAGGCTAAGTCGCCCCAGGTACCCGCGTCTCCAATAAAGCCTCTTGTTTTTTGCATCCAGTTCGTGGCCTCGCTGATTCCTGGGTGTATGGGTCTCCCTCTACGAAAGTGCCTCTTCGGGGGTCTTTCATAACCAAGTATGATTTTAGTGAGTTATCTCCATGGCTAGACTGAATGTCACTCTATCCTTAGGCATAGGTAAGTCAAGACTGCCTGTAACAAGAATAAAAAACTAAAGGTACCATCTTAAAAAACTTTCAGGTGCTCTGGTAAAGGACCATAACCAACACAACCTATAGAATAGAGTTGGGGCTTACGTTTCAGAAGATGGGAAACATAACAGGCAGGTAGGCATGGCTCTACAGCAGTAGCTAAGAACTTACATCTTGATCTGTAAGCATTAGGCAGAGAGACCTAGCTAAGAATGTGTGAGTCTTTTGAAACCTCAAAGCCCACTCCCAGTGACACACCTTCTCCAATAAGGCCACATCCCCAATCCTTCCCAAACAGTTCCACCAACTGAAGACTAAGCTTTCAAACATATAAGCCTATGGGGTTGGTGGAGTATTCTCATTCTCATTCAAACAGCAAGCATCATTATAATGAAAGCTGCCATTATATTAAGTTAGTATGCAGCCTTCCCTGTATCTCTACTCTCTAGTAACATGCTATCTGATGCTGTCAACAGAGAGAGAAATTCTATTTTAACATTTGACATTAAAAAAAGCTTATAGCGTAGAATGTTCATAAAAGTAGTAACCAATCCTGACACTATTTGGCACTTAGTCCCCAGAGGTCACCAAAAACATTTCCACCCCTTTTCTGAGGCACAAAGAAACCACTTGAAATTTTAAGAAACCTGTTCTCTCCACAGTTAACTAAATTTTCATTTGATGATTTGATGATCATTTGATGATCAATCTACAAATATTACTGCATACCTGCTAGTTCAGGCAATTTTGAATTTATTTTTATAAATGCATAGAATACTAATTTGTACTAAATTGCTACCACATGGTACCTAGTAAACACAAAAAGGCAACTGAATAAATGAAATATTCCTTTAAATGGGCATTTATATTTTGATTTGTTTTGTTTTTTGAGATAAGGTCTTACTCTTAGCCCAGCCAGTCTTTAACTTTGCATGTAGCCCAGGAAAGCCTTGAAATCATGACATTCTGTCTGCCTCAACTTCCTGAGTGATAGGATTACAGGAATAAGCCAACAAGCTGACTGAATGAACAATTTTGCATGTCACATTAATGTGTTTTTCTAAACTATTTTATACATTTTAAACTATGATTTCCCCCACATTATACAATTCTTTCAAAATTGTAAAGTTTAGGTGAATAAACACTTCAAGTAAAGGGAAAGGAGGCAATCCATTTCTTGGATGGAACAAACAAGACCACTTGAAAATTTCACTGTCATCTTTGATTATTTCTATAATGCTAAGATTACAATGTTAGCTAGCGTTTATAAAGTCCAGAGAAGCTGTACATGTATATTTCAGTGCCTAAATTCCAAAGAAATATCTGATTGTGTATGAAGAAGACAACTCTTTTTTTTTGTTTCTGTGGTTCGATAATCAATAGCAATCAGAATATAATTAAGTAAATTAAATATTTCTGGTGATAGGATTATGATAATTAAAACTTACTTTTGGTGGGTAAGAGGGCGTTTTGTAATGTCTTTGAAAGTGATATGAGAAAATAGTGCCTGACAAAAAATAAATCATTCTTCTTCAGTTGATAGCCTATATATATATATGCCCTAGACTAAAAGCAAAAAAAAAAAAAAATGCAGTCCAAAGCAATTGATTTGAATTGAAAATTATTAAATTAACCAAAATTCATTTGTAATTAAACTGACTAAATGGGACAATTAGTTATGAAAACAGAGATGAGCCTATATTCTCTCTGAATCAGACCATCACTTGAGCAATATTATGGTAGTGACTAAAATATTTTTTTTAGAAAATGAAACCTAAAATTAGATAATCTTACAATATTAATATTATAGAAATTTACTTTTGCTTTGGCATCTTTATTCCTGAGAAAACATACATGGAATAACAATACTGCTGAGGAATAAATTTTGAGAGATATCTCTGGGGAAATGTACACTAAATTGAGAAAAACTGGAGTCCTACACATCTCACAACCACAGCTTAAAGCGATAGTTAAGGACATAAAGTGTGCACACCAGCTTTGTGGGGCACAGATAGATGTGCACATGATCCCCTTTTCCCAGGAGTAAGCAGGCATAAATCCCTAATATTTGTGGTCCCTTTCTCATTACTCACACAACTCACACATCAGATGGACCCCTAATCTCAAACCCAAACTCCCTATTATTTTATTGTGAAAATAATACCTCACATTCTTGGCAGGAAACCAAACCATAAAAGAATTCCTGAATTTATTTACTTTTCTACAGTAAGTATTGTAACTACCGAACTAAATGCATTCACATTTCCTTTAAGTGAGCATTTATATAAAATAAAGGCATTCATGTTAAGAGATTCATTCCAACAAAGTTCTTCTCCTTTCAAAAAGTGTATGTTATTTCAAATAATTCACTTAAAATTAAAATCTTCTACTATATATGGATAAAGAACCCAAGAAAAAGTATTCCATAATTTTGCAAATGATAGAACTTGTCAAGATACCTGAGTCATAGTAAAATCTTCATAGAATAAATAGAGTTCCCTTATATTTTGAGATTATTACATGAATCTGAGATACGGCAAGTTGCTTCTATTTGTTATAGTAATTGAAGCAATAAAGTAAAAACAGTATGAGAGCATCTAAATTTGAAGACTTCTCCTGCTCAGCACACATTCTATCCATGTTATCTTATGTCTTGTAAATCACACAGTTCACCAAACTATAAAAAAACTGAACTCTACAGAACTAAGTTTGACATTCTTTGCACATTTTGAGACAGCAATATGACCAGGATGGATAGTAACTGTGAAATTTATATTTACTTCTATAAATGGGGATTTCTGAGTCCTGACCCCTGGCTGTATTTCTGTTTTTCAGGAAAAATCAATATCCTGGACTTAGGAAATTTTAGATAACTATGTATTCTGGATCTAACAGACTTGTAAATATGAGTGTAGACATCTAGATGGTTCTAAATTGTGATTCTTTTTATTTTAGACCCACAAGCAATTTCAGTCAAATAGTAAAATCTTGTATCATGAGATTTAGGCTTCTGGTCAATGGTTACTGCTCCTTTACATAAGTCGATAAGGATTTTTTTTTTGAAAAGCAACCACAAAATTCGAAAGCACAAACCTGGGCTTCAGAGAACACATCCTTCATACTGTTGATTGGACCATATGGAATCCCACTTCCTTCAAAGAGACAAAGCCACTTGGCAGTTACTTCTTCTGCAAACCTAGGTGCAAACAAATAGCACATTTTACAATCTAAAGAAGGTGATATGGTAGAAGCAGACACCCACATGTAACACTGAACTGAACTGGAATCCAGTTACAGAGAGGGAGGAGTGATGAGCAAAGGGGTCAAGACCATGTAGATGAAACCCAAAGAAACAGCTGACCTGAACAAGTGGGAGTTCATGGTCCCCAGACTGATAGCTGGGAAAGAACATAGGACTGATCCAGACCCCCTGAACATGGGTGTCAGTAAGGAGGCCTCAGAAACCTATGCACTTTGTGAACCCATTCCACATAGAGAGATACTCTCTCAGCCTAGACACATGGGGGAGGGCCTAGGCCCTGCTCCAAAGGATATGACAGACTCCGAAGATCCCCCAGGGAAGGTCTCACCCTCCTGGGGAACAGAAAGGATATGGGATAGGTAGGGAGTTGGTGGGGGTCAGAGGAGGGGGGGGAGAGGGAACTGGGATTGACATGTAAAACAATCTCGTTTCTAATTTAAATAAAAAAATGGAGAAGGAAAAAAAAGAAGGTGATATGAGCTCTTCTCTTATGTGGCCATCTCCCAAAGTAACTAATAGTCACAAAGGTATACTTCCTTGGCTGTTTTATTCTTAGAGTTTAGAAAAAAAATATCTGTAGAATGTGCCTTGAGTGGTCCTTCAGTCAGAGAACCACCCAGGCAAGTGGAATGCTTCCTCCTAGTTCTAGCCTATGTTTCTCTGGACAGAGCATACCTGCAAAGGAAACATTTTGGGGGCATGCATTAAATTATAAATGCTTTTGAGTAATCTACAGACATAATTATCACAATTGCAATGTGAGCATCAAATCATGATATAAAATGTTGTTTGAGTTTCAGGTACAGCATACCAGGTTAGAGCACTAGATACTTCCTCAAAACAAAATAAACAAAAAGCTTTAAAAAATAAGCTACTGGTCCTGCAGCGAGTGCCCGAGCCCTGAGCCTCAGGTGACTCTGGACACTACTTGTCCCCCCCCCTCAACATCCCCCATCAACCCCTGCTCGATTATGGCTGACACCCCCACACAAGAGTGGACCTGCCCAGACCAAAAGGCCCACCCTGAGTCTGGACACACCTCACCCCTGTATACACTCTTCCCTCTATCCTGTGGTAGGCTCTGGAGCCTCAGGTGAGTCTGGGCGCTGCTCTGCTCGCCAACCCCCGCCCCATCAACCCCTGCTCGATTCTGCCTGAGCCCACTCAGACAAGAGTGGACCTTCCCAGACTGGAAGGCCCAACCTGAGTTCGGAAACACCCCATCCTTGTCCACCCACCAACCTCTGCCATCCGGCTGCCTCCAGAGGCTGAGCCCTCCATCTGTCACAGGAGACATGGAGAGACCCCACCTGCACTCACTGGAAGAAGGCATGGGAAGAAGACAGAGTAAGAACACACTCAACAACAGAGAAACCAATATGACACCACCAGAATCTAGGGACTCTACACCATGGAAAGATCTCCCATGCTCTTGGATAGGTAGAATCAACATAGTAAAAATGGCAATCTTATCAAAAGCAATCTACAGATTCAATGCAATCCCCATCAAAATCCCAACACAGTTCTTCACAGACCTTGAAAGTACAATTCTCAACTTTATATGGAAAAACAAAAGACCCAGGATAGCCAAAACAATCCTGTACAATAAAGGATCTTCTGGAGGCATCACCATCCCTGACTTCAGGCACTATTGTAAAGCCATAGTTCTGAAATCAGCTTGGTATTGGCACAAAAATAGACAGATAGAACAATGGAATCAAATTGAAAACCCTGATATTAACCCACATACCTATAAACACCTTATTTTTGACAAAGATGCTAAATCTATACAATGGAAGAAAGATAGCATCTTCAACAAATGGTGCTGGCACAACTGGATTCAGATATGCAGAAGACTGCAGATAGATCCATATCTGTCACCATGCACAAAACTTAAGTGCAAATGGATCAAAGATCTCAACATAAATCCAGCCACACTGAATCTTCTAGAAGAGAAAGTGGGAGATACCCTTGAGTGAATTGGCACAGAAGAGTGCTTCCTGAACATTACACCAGTAGCACAGACATTGAGACCTGCAATTAATAAATGGGACCTCCTGAAACTGAGAAGCTTCTGTAAGGCAAAGGACACAGTCAGTAAGACAAAA